TTTCGAGAAGTTTCTTATTTCGGGATTATGCTCATAAATGGATAAAGTAAAGGCCTTGGAATTTCAAACGAATAGGGTTTAGACCCTATTGGATGTAGATAATATTGGTTATGTGATCCAAGCTCTCGGTTTGTGTTCTAGAGTCAAAGGGTAAAATGGGAATAATGATGTTTCAGACTTCTTTCATGATTTAAGGATTTTAGTTCTATATGTTTTAAGTCAAAGGTAATTAGATAGAATCTTGGGGATCTTCAATACCTTTCCATGCATATAAAGAATGCCAAAAAGAAAGTTAAAAAGAAGAAGTTATGGCCGTTGGTAGTTAATATGGAAATGAGAAGTGGTCTGTATGGTGGGCGTACATGATATGTATGTCGGGCATACATCATTAAAGTCGACACGGGAATCCTTGAGTATGTAGGGCGTACTTAGGGATTATGCAGGGCGTACTCATGAAGCTCCAAAAATCTAATTTTTAGGGTTTGGACCCTATTTAAAGACCTTAAGTCCTTGAGACCCCTTTATCTTCTGCCTCCGTCCCCTCATTCTGTCAAATCAAAATCCTAGCCCTATTTGTGGGAGTTTAAGGCCTTAATGTGGGTTTTTGTGTAATCTTGTGAAGAAGGAATCCATTGGAGAAGCCTTGGTGAGCTTGAGGCTTTAAGATCCAGAACCTTCATCACCCTTGCAAGCTTCTGGAGGTATAATTCTATCAACTTTATGGTTCTATGAATAGATCTAGGTTAGAGCCTTGAATTGCTAGCTTTTGGTCCCATGTTTTTGGTTTTTGTGAGTAAAAGCTACTCCAGAGCTCAAGGTTGTTACTTTATGTTGTTTCTGAGGACCTTGTGTCATAAAAATGAAGTCTTTGTTGCTATTTATCACTCATGCAAGAGTTTGAGGTTATTAAAGTGTGTTATGGATCAAGGGTTTGATTTTTGGATCCCATTAAGCCTTCGAAATTCATAAAGTCAAGAAATTTATGACTTAGGACGTCCATAAGATTCAGATATGGGTGTTGGGTGTTTAGTCTCAAGTTATTAAGAGCTTAATGCAAAGGTTGGCATGTTGCTCGAGTATGTTGGGCGTAACTCTCTGGTATGCAGTGCGTAACGGGTTTCGACCCGTTTTCTTTTCGATGATCGATCAGTACGTAGGGTGTAAGGGTGGAGTATGCATGACGTACTCCCATATGTGTAATTGGGCCGTTTTTGGGTGGGTCCAACTAGGAAAGGGTAAATTAGACTTTTACCCTATTGAGAGAATATGAAATGGAGCTTTAATTATAGATTATTACCATAATTCTTAATTAGGGTTGGTTTTGATATGATTTAATGTGAGGAGATTTTGTAGCAGCATCGTATGTGTGAGTTTTGGCTATCTTCGGATTGAGGTGAGTCTGATCACTATGCCGTGGTTCAAAGGCACCAATACCGACCCACTATGATGTGTTATGTAAAATGCTAGCTGTCTTTGTGACTCTTGCATTTGTATGTTGTGTTGGGCCCATTGACATGCATGAGTTGGCTGTGCCTATTTGCATGAGCGGGTTGGGCCTATTGTATGATGGGCTAGGCCCAATGCTATATTGGGTTGGGACCATTGATTAGGAAGGGCTAGGCCCAATGATATGTATGGTATGTGGTATTTTAGAGAACTCACTAAGCTTTGTGCTTACAGTTTTATGTTTATGGTTTTAGGTACTTCTGGATCTAAAGGGAAGGGCCCGACGTGAGATTGCATAGCTTCCCCCTAATATCTACCGCATTGGCTATTTGTGACTTATATTCATATGTTATTTTTAATTGATATTGGATGGATTTGGAATCAGTGTTTGTATGACTTTATGTTTTAAAGTGAAGAGTTTTCTTTGAATTTTGGGACGTTACAAGTTGGTATCAGAGCCTTGTTTTGAGGGATTTGGGTACACTCTCGGGTGTGATTGAACTCAAACTGAGGAATTGGTAATCTTTTGAAAGAAAACAAATTTCTCAAAACATTTTTTTAAAAGAAAAATGGGGTGTGATACGTGCAATCAGTCGGGCTCAAGTAAGTGATTCCTAAAATATCCACTCATGTTGATATGTTGTATGATATGGAATGCTTGCATGCTATATTAGGACTCCGGGTCTAATCAAGATTGCATGATAGAATGCTAGGAGAGATGACTTTATATTCATGTTGGTTGAGCATTTAGAATCGCATGCTAGAATGGGTTTTAGATGTTGGTTAGAATTTCCTGATTAGGTGATGCACTGGTTAGATTTTCCAATGCCCAAATGCTGGTTGCTTTGTGCTTTGTGGGACTCATACTAATGTGATTTAACTACTAAATGAATATATTAAGTTTCATGCTGCGAAGGTTAAATAATCTCAAAGTGATTGATTTGACCCTATTACATAGCTATTGTTTGAGTCCAACCGTTGTACGGTTCAGTCTTTTAGTCGAAGGATTATCTAAGCTTTGTTGCATGTAATTGTATTCATGAAGTAGTTATCTGTGTAAAAATTGAGAATTTTCTATCATTGATTGCTACTAGAAGTTAGGATTGACTCATAATGACAAAAACTTCCCATATTGAAGGATAATATGGAAAGTTGAGTCGAAAATAAAGTAATCAAGAAGTTAAAATGGTTAGTGTATTTGGAAAATACACGACCTAATGATCCCAACAATATAAACGTTGAGAAAATCTAACTCTGATTGGAAGAGTTATGATTTTATGACGAATAGAAACCAACCACGTTAATAACGCTATTGACATAGAAAATAGCAAAAAGACAAACGGTTGAGTTTCAGCTAACACTACAAAAAGGAAATTTGTAGTAAAGCATGAGATAAGAACTTGGGAAGGAAGAAAGGCAAAAATGGAAGTCGTATAAAGGAGATACGATTTTTATAAAATATAAAAATGTGGGTTAAAAATGAAAGTTTAAATTAGAAGATGCAACCTAAAGTAAAGTTGTAGTTCTAGGAAAGAGCTACACAAATATATAAAGAGGGTAAGAATCAAGTTCATATGAAGAAAATATGAATTTCTAAAAAGGATTTAATGGTGCGCGTCAATGTGTGCGCCATGACCGTTGCGCACATCTGACCCCCAAATTCGTTGGAGGTTTGGAAACGTGGGCACTAGAAGGGTGACACGTGGGAAGATTTGGATGGGCCACGAAAAAAGTACACGCGGCGCAGGAGAGTGCCCGTCGTGAACCATCACTATAAATAGAGGTGCTTGCTTCCAGGTTTTATCTCAAACCAACCTCCGAACTCTCTCTCTATACTTCAATACCCTCTAGATGGCAAGAAACTCTGGTTGCAACGGTTCAGGCGCTTCTCGATACGCTATTAGAGTGAGTTCACAAAAGCTATTTTACTGTTTTAAAATATTTTCGGGGGGTGGGGGATACATGCTTAACAAATGATTTTATAAAAATATTTATTTTATAAACATTAAGTCATTTTTATAATAAGCTAGATGCCTTAGGGTAGTATAACTGTAGATACTATGTCTGGATTTAAGCTATGATCTGTGTCTAAAGGATATGATGCCCGATAATCTAGGAGTAGGTATTACCTAGATGTTATAATGGTGAAAATCCCTAGGAAACCTTAGTACCTAGGAGTTATGCTAGACAAGATTTAATATATGCACTGTACTTAGCTCTTACGCTGCCTAAATATCCTGTTAAAATAACCATAATTAGGGTATATATATGACGATTTATATATATATATATATATATATATATATATATATATATATATATATATATATATAGGGAAAGGATCAAATGAGAACACCTAAAAGGTTGAGAACGCGAGAACAATTCTGGACCAATCAATATATAAGGGCATATTAGTAATTGTATACTTTAATTAAATTAAAATAAAATAAAATTCAATCAAATTCCCTTAAATTTAGGAGCAGTTACCAAAAAAGAAATAAATATTCAATTTTTTATTTTTCTTATTAATGGAACATAAAAAACATTTTTACCAAAATTTATCTTAAAAACTGAAAAAAAAAATTAAGAAAATAAATTTTTTCCTTCTATTTCACGTTTTTTTTTTCAAAAAAATGAATAGAAATCGAACCCTAAATTAATACATTTGTATTCACAAATGATTTTTTTTCAAAAAACCTGATACTTCTCCAATCACAAATGAATACACATCAATTTACAAGTAATCTAATTCCTTTTTTTAATCGACTGAAAAATAAAAAGAGTGTAAAAATTATCATTTCTTCATAAAAAGAATACATCTAATCATAAATAAATACATTCATTAACACATGATTACACTGCTATTCACAAATGAATACACTGCTATTAACAAATGAGTTCCCTGTTATTCACAAATGAATAAATGAATACCTCTAATCATAAATAAATATATTCATTCACACATGAATGCACTGCTATTCACAAATGAATACACTGCTATTCATAAATAAATACACATTTTAACATTAATGAATTCATCAAAATATAATATAACTTACATCTAAAAAAATATAGAACACAATACAATTTTTCATTCTCCTCTAGCTCAACTTTACCATTTGGTTTCCCATCAACTTTAGGAATAACTTTGATGTTAAGATCAACCACGGAGCTAGAAGCTTCAACAATTCGAGCATAAGACTTTTTGCTAACATCATTGACAATAGTAACCACTGGGATGATTTTGATTTGGAATCATTATCAACAATCATCGGCTCATTATCCCATTTAAGATCCAAAAAACTAACTCCCTGTTTCATTTTCAAATCAGTCCCAGTATCTGATCCCATCTTCACATCATCATTTGAACCCTCATTCATTACTTCATCATTACCACTACCAGAATGTTTCACAATCTTCATAGGAATAAGAATCGTAACATGAGATGTTTCATGAACAGGGGACGAACCAGGAATTTTACCCAAAATACCCTTAGCGTGGATTCCAGCATTCAAAGAAGGAGGCGATGAAGGTTGCGAACTGTCAGCCTTGGATTAGGAAGAATTGAACCCTTTAACCATATCAGAAGTAGCTTGTATCAAAACGAATCCCTTTTCTTCCACCAAATCATTGATTGTCTTATTATTTCCATAAATTTGAAAAGTATTATGAATTTCAACGTTCTTACCACCATCGATAATTTTATCCATCGCTGCTAGTTCAGATTTGATAAAATTTGGATCAATATTCTCCTTGCCACATCCCGATTTGACTACATCTCTAACCCCATCACGCAAAACATACTTTGAACCTTCCTCTTCACCAACAAAACAGAGAATCGATTGATAAACTGAATCGTAACATATGTGTTGGTTGTTGTCATCGGAACCCACGATACCGAAGGGTGTATCTATGTGTGTGTTCGTGTGTTGTTGGGAGGGCCAAGAAAGAAAGTGGATGAACATCAGAAAGAAATTGAAGTTGAGACTAGTTAAAATGGAAGCAATCAGGTCCAATGAACAAAAATCGAGTTGTAGGAGTGCTCTTCCGCTGATTCTATGCCCTCCTCCGGCTCTGATATGTTCTATGAGATGAGGCGGTGAGATGAATAATTCTATGAGATTAGGTCAACAAAATAAAGCGACATAGAGTAATTATAGGAGTTTACAAAATTAGGGTAATGCTTATTTACCTTAATAGCCTTTACAATTTTTTTTAATTTAAAATTTAAAATTTAAATGTATTAATAATTAGAAAAATAACAATTAATTATAGCCACACATCTTAAAACTTAGATGGTCCAGATTTGTTCTCGTGTTCTCAACCTTTTAGGTGTTCTCATTTGATCCTACTCCTATATATATATATATATATATATATATATATATATATATATATATATATATATATATATAAAAGATAATTATGAGATCATAAATATAATTATCAAATTCATATATATATATATATATATATATATATATATATATATATGGGTAATTCTGATAAAGATAAAAGATAAAAGCCTAGGGTTAGTGTGTTAGTGAGTTGGTTATTCAACCAAAAGCCTTGATTAAATTTGGCATATCCCCAATACCTATAATCGTTAATCTTGTGAGAGCTGGGAAGTTATGTATAGATCTATACGGGGACATGACAACCCCACCTGTGATTGCTAGCTACAATCCCGACATGATACCTTCTATATAAGTTACTATTCGACGCCCAATGAAGCGTCGTTATTAGGGGTACATTTACGGTCGTAGCGCCGATTATAAGGGCTCACGCTAATACATTAAAAATTGTCTTATAGCTTAGATTACCATTAGGGACGCCTGGTATGGTAACTAGAATACGTTAGGATCGTTAGAAATCCTTGAAAGATAGTAAATTAGGGTTAACAAAAGATAATCCTAATTAAAATACGTTAGGGCCGTTAGAAATCCTTAAAATATAGTAAATTAGAGTTAATGAAAGATAATCCTAATTAAAATACGTTAGGATTGTTAGATATCCTGAAAAGATAGTAATTTAAGATTAATAAAAGATACCCTAAAATATAGCAGGCTAGGGAAATAAATAAGAAATGTTTTCACAAAAGAGAAGTATTCTTTAATGAATTCAAAAATAAAAAATCGTGCACTCACCAACATTATGTTGACTTTCAAAATACATGTATTCTCAGGTTAATACGATTGTCGCTCTTTATACCGTCACATTGCTTGGTGTTTCCGCCACAGGTGGGGCAGGGGTTGTGACAGAGATGGTATCAAAGCATAGGCTTAGCTATAGCAAATTAGTATTTCCTTAGGAATAGTGACCTAGTATTTCTTTAGGAATTACGACTATAGCTTAGGTGAAATACTCCTATTGGGTTTGTCCTCAAACCTATAACTAAAAATTTTATACCTTAAAATTTCCTATTGATAGATTATGTATTGGAAAGGTGACTAGACTAGAACTGTCGCATTGGGTTGCTGGAATTTAGAGCATCTATATGCCAAAATGGTCCTGCCCACCAAATTTTCCTACCTGACCGATCCATATATAGTCTAGAAGTATAAAACAAATAATAAACTGCCAATCACAAATAGAAAAAAAATCACAAATAAAAATATACGGAAACGCAACGTATAAAGATAAATATCCAGGAAATTCAGTGTGTAAAAGTTGAGTCACTCCTAAGCATAGCTTGATCAACTATGTTTAGTCTTGACTCAACCAATACAACATTTGAATTGGGATAGACAAATGAAACTTAAAAACCATAAATATATAAATACAATCCCAAACCAAATAAAATATGTCAGAATACATCATATAGTATCAAAATACAAAATAAAACCCACAAATCCACTCCTCACTACCCTCCGACTCCGTCTCGGTCTCCTCCTCGCCGTCGTCTTCATCGTCGTTGTCGTCATCGTCATCGTCATCGGTGTCTCCGGGATGTATGCCTGAAGGACCGACACCATCGTAACCAGTGCTGTATGGCTGAGAATGGGGTGGTGCAACAGGATCCACACTAGGAAAGGGCAGATGGTCCATCCCCAGATGCTACATCACTGCGACAAGAGAAGCCATCATCCATCAGCGCTCCTCCTGTGCAACGGTGAGACCGTGCATCATATCTCCATGAATAGGCTCCAAACGATCAGGCTCCACGTGCCTAGGTATCTGATGACTCACAAAGGCAGGCTCATGAATCACCTCCGACTCCACTTGCCGAATCGGCTCGACGATGTTATCCCCCGGTACCCGCCATGGCTGACCCGCCTCCCTAGTCAGCTCCCACATCTTCTCGAGAGCTGTAGTACCCAACTCCCAGATAGATATGGGGGCCATCCCACTAGTATCAACCCCATAGGATAGGGCTAACCTAGTAAACCAATGACCCTCGCAAATCCTGCTCGAGGATGTGGTACCTAGAGCCATACCAGAGAGGTAAAAAGCAAGGGCGAAAAGAAGGTGAAGACGAACCTCCGTCTGAGTGAGGCACCATATATAGAAAATTTCGCCAGAATGAACCTTGTCACACTCCGGTCTATGACAAATAGTGGATGCGACCAGTCGGTGAAGCAACCGATAGATAGGAGAACAGAAGGCGCTCTCCTTGGCCGAGCGGGAGACATAGGTCCCTCGAACGTGGGCCCAAACCTGCATAAAGTCATACTCCTGCGGAGGAGCAGTGATACATCTGTCCAAAAAGGCATAAAAATGAGGACTCAGAGTCTCGTCAACAGTGTAATGAGGCTGCAGGAGCGGGATACGCCTCTCAAGTGAAAAGAAAACATTAAATGATCGGCCCAGAGTCCCAACTCTTTGTCGAAGCAGACCATCGAAAAGAAATCCCAGCAGAGCTCCTGGTAGGTCACCTCCCGAATCCGATAACCCGCCGCCACCCGTGGCAGACAAAAAACTCGAGACTTCTATCATCCCAAAGTGATCGAGTGAGGAATAGTGCTAGCTGAGCAGACAAGCCAGTGTTATTCGCCGCATTCCTATAAAGAGCTTTAGGAATACAGACCTTCTTGGAGAGAAGGGAAATGAGGCGAGAAATGAAAGTACTCCAATTAGGAAGGTCACCGGGGAACTGTAAAAAAAGGATGTGTTGTCTAGTTAGAAAGTAACTGGCCCGCAGTCTGACAACCCCGTATCGACATATCTGTAGCAAGATAAGGCATTGAAACAATTAGAATAAAGTTGGGATAACTTAATAGGGGATTTAAGTGGGGCAGACGTGCCACGCCACATGTGAGTGCACGCTGCGTACACGCATCTGTGTGGCGCGCCTCAAGAACACAAAGAATAACAGTCATGGCAACCTGCTGTTTCGTCTAATTTTCAATCTAAAAAACATTTAGGGATGTTCGGTTAGTCCTCTAGAACACGTGTAGGCTTCACATTTCATCCAAAACAACACCAAATTCTGATTTTTAGTTCAAAATATTCAAAAATTTAAAAAAAATTCAAAATGAGAATCAATAGATGAATTAAACCCGAAATTAAGTATATAGGAAGTAAAATCGGTAGTATAGGGCACTATATTACTCCTCAATTTCACAAAATACAAAAAAAATCTGTCAAAAGATAAAATCCTCAAAAACCCCTAAAAATTCGAAACTTAACCGACAATTTAGGTTAGGATTTAGCATAGAGGTTACCTAGTAGTAGAGAGATCGAATGGAGTGAAGAAATCAATGAAAAGTAGTAGGCGCGCCAAGTGTTCCTCGCGAGTGTGGGCCCCGATAATAACAAAGCAAATAAAGACATAAGGAATGGTCGAATGAAGCCAAAAATCGACTTTAATGCTGATCTGTTGTTTGTGCGCGAGGCACATATCATATGCACCAAGTGCACATGTAATATTTTTTGTACAATTTTGACCCTACTGATACCTTAAAATAACCAATGCCTTTAGGAGTCAAAATTTATTACAAGAAAGAAGGAAATTCCTTGGGATGATCAGTAAGTTGCTAGGAAAGCAATGATAAGTTGCTAGGAAAGCAACGCCAACATGCTATGATCAGTAAGTTGTTAGGGAAACAACAGTAAGTTGCTAGGGAAGCAACAACAACATGCTATAATCGGTAAGTTGCTAGGAAAGCAACAGTAAGTTGCCAGGGAATCAACAATAGCATGATATTATCAGAAGGTTACAAGGAAGGCAACCAAAAGATGTGATATCAACAATAAAAATCCAGATTTTCCCAATTAGAAAATAATAATAAAAGAGATAAGAAGACAGGTTGCTAAGAGAGCAACTATAAGTACCCTACAAATAGGAAATAGGATTGACCCTTTAGGTAAAACCCAATAATCCTCTCATCTGTTGTTTCAGGAAAATAGCCCTGCTATTCTAACCCTACATAACCCAACCGCCATCCAAACCACGATTCAACATCAAGTCTCTGATGCATTAGGGAATCTTAGAGTTGACCATGGAGAAGGAAGCAACACGGAAAGTAGTCAAGCCGAACAGGATTTTCTTCGTAGTAAGGCGGGATCCTTCTATGGAGATGAAGGAGTAAATGGCCTAATTCAATGGATCAAAGGAATAGAGATTAGGTGTAATAAGGAGGTTAGGGTAAAATTTGCAACTTGCACTCTCATGGAGAAGGAGATCATCTAGTGGAGTATCCAAGTAAAGGCCTTAGGAGTAGATGCAACCTACTCAATCTATTAAGAAGAGTTAAAAAGGAAAATGATAATAGAATTCTGTTCTATGGGAGATTTGGCCCAAGTAGAACATGAATTCAGTCAGTTAAGCAGTAGGAAGTCCAATCTAGGTTTCTACACCATACACTTTGAGGACCTAGCCATGGTATGCTTAGAACTGATTGGCTCAGAGAGCAAGAAAATCAGTGCATATCTCCAAGGACTAGCACCTTAAGTTAGGAAGCAGATACAAGCATACAAGACCCACACCTTCGAGGAAACTAAGAAGCTAGCGTTCCACTTTAGG